TCTGATGCTCTGGGATAAAGCTGCATGGCTGCTGGTCTATTATCAGTTGTTGTTTTATTTTTTTATTTTTAATAATACTAATTAGGAGTCTAATACTGTTGGAGACTGTACACATAGCCTACATTCAAAATGAAATATGAAATTCCAATGATTACCCAATTATAAGGCACTCTCCCAACAACAACATGAATGCACCCAATGTCAGGTTCAACTGTTGCATGAAGTATAGAAGACAATGGCTGGCTACTACTATTTAAAACTCATTCGTTATGGCTACCATGACAATAGAAAACAATACAGGTAGGAATGTGCTTACTGGGTTGCTTAAACAATTAGTAATATGAAGTGAGTTGGCCTAGGCCTATATCATCACCTGTCTAAATATGAATATATTTTCCTAAACGTTTTACTATTATTTTGATATCATAAAGTCACAATATGATGTGTTAGCCTATTTGACGTATTATTATATATTTTATTTATCTAAATTAAGCCTTGTACCATGCAAAGGGCACTTGTTTGTGTAGCCTACATCTTCGCTGGGATTGGTACGCACATAGGCGATGTTTCCCTACTATTTTTATGTGCATTTTTTTTTTTTTTGGAAATAAAAAATTAATGAATACACCTTTAATTTATTTTATTTTTATTTATTTTTTTGTGAAAAAGAAATGGAACTGTCTGGGATTAAGTCGGAAAGGACGGAGGAAAGTAGTAAAAAACGCCCAACTGTAGCGCAAGAGTCAAGCTGATGTTGCTAGGCGTGGTTCTGTGTATAAATACTTACAGCTCAGTTGAAACTTTTCTCCTACTCGCTGGCTGTGTGTGCATTCGGTCTTGGTAAGTGAGGAACTGGGATTTTCTTTATTTATTTCACGTCGTGATATATAAAATTTTGTATTCAAATATATAATTGTTGCATTTTTATGACAGCGTTGGTTTTGTTTACTGAAAAATATAATGCAAATGAGAAAAGTGTGGGGTGGGGGATGCTAATGAAAATGATGCAGCGAAGTAATGCAGTGTAACGTTAGTTGTTTTAAGTAAATGTAAACAACGTTGCACACTTTGAGCTCTAAAACTCCATAACCTGGTTTTGTAAACTGTTTTTGTCGTTGTTCAATATGTGTATGATTGCCCTTGCCTTGATAGTCGCTTTAATGTTCTGTTTTAGTGGTATATCATGTGCTTTTAAAACTGCTAGAGAACGCACATAAAATATAATTTTTATTTTTCAAATTTTTTTCAATTTAAAAAAAAAAAATGTATTTTAACATATGCCAACGTGTAGGTTTGGTTGTTGAGTTCCAGGTGTCAACATGTCCTTCGTCAGTGCTTTTCTCGAGCAGCTTGCCTATCAGGGCATGCAAGAAAACACAGTACAAGACATCACAGTAAGTTTGCTATAACTTTCAGGAAAATTTGACCAGCTCCAGACTGAATGAGTCAGAGATAGGAATGTACTTCACTCCCCATTCTAGTCACAGCCATCCTGTTAAAGGGCACGTGCTTCAATGTTTATGCTTTCCTTGATTCCTTCTTAAAATTTGCTTTGACTTCTTATGTTGATCTGCTATTAGTTAGTTTGTAAGCTATGTAATACTGTATGTAGGCTATGGTTAAAGAAGTGTCTCTCATCATGTCTTTAGGAGGGGCAGGGGACAGTGAAGCCCTTTGCTCAGTTTAATGCGGCTGCAGATGCAGGTGTCCTGGACAAAGCTATCAAGGCAAGAGGTTGGTATATGTTGAAAAGTGAAAATCTATAAACACGTTCATGTCATTGTGCATCTGTTTGCTCTATTGACACACATATTGTGTCCAGGTGTGGATGAGCCCACAATCATCAGTACACTGGTCCACAGAAGCAATGCCCAGCGCCAGCAAATTAAGGCTGCTTACCAGCAAGCGACCGGCAAGGTATTACATTCAGTGGACCTGAAATGAACACATTTCTTTCTCTCTGGATTCCCCTTCATCTAAATGACCTCTTCTCTTCTGTGCAGCCTCTAGATGTCGCCCTGAAAGGTGCCCTTAAGGGGGAGCTGGAAGATGTGGTTCTGAGCCTGTTGATGCCTCCTGCTCAGTATGATGCCTCTCTGCTCAAAAATGCCATGAAGGTAACATTATTTCCCAACTATATACAGATAAACTTCACATTTTTACCCTGGATTTGGTGAACATTTAAAAAATAACTTGAAAACTTGAAAAGTGTCATTTTCACAACCCCCCTGATAACCCAGTCTTTTTCTCTCCAGGGTTTGGGCACAGATGAGGACACACTTGTCGAGATTCTGGCCTCTAGGACCAATAAAGAGATCCGAGAGATTAAACAAGTTTACAAACAAGGTAACATTAATGCTAATTATAAGTCAGCATTAAAATTTATGGCAGGAGTGTCCAATCTTGCTCATCTAGGGCCAACATCCTGCTGAGTTTGGCCCTAGTCTGCTCCAACACGCCTGTCTGGAAGTTTCTGGTTATCCTGAAGAGCTTGCTTAGCTGGTTGGTTTGGGTGTGTTTAATTATAATTAGAGCAGAACCGTACAAGATAGTGGCCCTCCAGAAGTAGGATTGGACACCCCTGGTTTATGGTATCTGAGTAGAGTATATCTGTAAATTAATGTATGGCTTACATTTATAGATTATAAAAAGGATCTAGAGGCGGAGATCAAGTCTGAGACAAGTGGAGACTTCAGGAATGCCCTACTTGCTCTCTGCAAGGTTGGATTTTCTTACATACAGTAGATGATTGATTCACCTGACCTTTTCTAGTAGTGTTTCTCAATTCTGCCCCTCCCAGTCCTGCATGTCTGGCTTATCGAGCACATCTGATTCTGCACTAGTAGAGTGATTTGTGACTTGAATTGGCTTGTTAATAAACTTTCTTTCTCATTTGAATTCATAGGCTGTCAGAAGTGAAGACAAGGTTGTGCAAGATGACCTTGCTGACAAAGATGCCAGGGTAATCAAGTGTTTATTGAGAATATGTGGTGGGTTGTTGTATATACATCTCTCTTGAACTCTCATTTTGCCTGTAGGCCTTGTATGAGGCAGGAGAGAAAAGAAAAGGCACAGACTGTGCTGTGTTCATTGACATCCTCACTACACGGAATGCTCCTCAGCTGAGGAAAAGTATGATTGACCTCCCTGTTTTCAATATAAGTAGAGCAGTTGTCTTCTAATCCACTTAATAATGTCATTTTTCTCTTTATATTTAGTTTTTCAGCAGTACACCAAGTACAGTAAAGTGGATGTTGCAAAAGCCATTGATCTGGAGTTGAAGGGTGATATTGAGAACTGCTTGACTGCTGCTGGTGAGACACTACTAAACCTTCATGACTCTATAGATTTACATATCTCATTATAAAAATGGAATGACATGCAATAATGTCACTGCAGACTTCTCTGTCATTGGCCTTAGATGAACCATACCTTGCAAGACTTGAACTACTTTCCTAAAGTATAACAAGAATGCTATTGCAATGTTTACTTTTAACTGTATGCAAAAATATGACAAGAATGTTATTTTAAGAGAGAGCTTTGAGCAATGAAACAGAAGCTGCGTGACATTTTTGAGAAAAAAAAATATTTTCAAGTTTTCATAACACTGTCGCTTGTCTTCTTTTTAACAGTAAAATGTGCTGGAAACAAATCTGCATTCTTTGCTGATAAACTGAATCTAGCAATGAAGGCAAGTGTAACTCGACATATAATTGATGTATACATTTATATCCTTATAGTCATACATTTTAAATTGCACCTTTTATACATGTGTTGGACATACAGCAGGAACATCCATCAGTGTGACTTTGTGTTTGCACAGGGCTCTGGTTACAAAGGCAAGATCTTGACCAGAATATTGGTCAGCCGCTCTGAGATTGACTTGGCCAAAATCAAGCAAGAGTATCAGAATAAGTTTGGCAAGAGTCTCTACCAGGACATCCAGGTAAATACTGTAAATCTCAGCTAGCAAATTTTAAATATCGAATTTGTATTCTGTGCTGTCATTATTGTACTCTTCAATACATAAAAATAAAATAGAGAGTGTGATACTATGGTCCTTTGCTGTAAAGATTCAATTGTTAAAGCTTGTGTGTTTTGTTTGTTTTAGGATGACACCAAAGGAGACTATGAGGCGATCCTGCTAGCCTTGTGTGGCAATTAATTGGTGCCAACAATAAATGTGTACAAATGAAGACCCACCAGCTATCAATATATGAATTATACACCCCATACAGTATAACAACCATATTGGATTAAAAAATGTTTTTGAGAAATAAAAACTTTTCTTATTGTAAATGTGTATGTGTGTGCGTAAATTATGCAACATTTCTAATGTGATGTGTATCAATGAATTTCTATGAAAGAGCCTAGTGAAAAACACAAGTCTTTAAGTTTACTTTTAAAGGGTGCTCCAGAATGTTCTGTCAGTGTGGCAATCGGAGGAACCACAACTGGTGCTTGAAGAATCTTTTCAATCTATCATTTTAGTCTGAACAGTCTCTGTCATAAAAACAAAGTGCCTACTATTTACAGAGAGGAAAATATGCCTAGAAGTTTGTAAGTAAACAGTCCCCGTGATAATGTGTACATTTGTTAATAGACAAAATTACCATTTGATTCAAGTAAAAAATCACATATTTGTTATATATGCCCTTTTTATCTAAATCCTGTAAACATTATACATAAAACTGGGTTCATAAAGTAAATTTACTACCACGGAAGATTGAGGCGAATATGACAAAGTGTCAGATGAAACATATTTGCCTAGAACAATGAGAAGTGGGAAATATATAAACATTGACTAAGAGAAAGGGCGTGATATCTTTAAAACTTTACGAACTTGGGATAAAGTACAGTACTTTATTGGAAAGATGTCAGCACAAGCCAAGTCTTGCTGTGATTCCTGGCGCATGCTGCATTACTGGTGGCGCTGTTGATTATTGGCTGTGAAACAGGGGCTCCATCGAGTGCTATATGTTGATTGGTTGAAGTAGTGCGTTACGTCACGCGCTTCCGCGGAAGTAACGAGGATTGGAAAATAGAGGTTATAATATGCAGCTTTGACCACAACGGGTTGTGGAGATATTTACCTGTAAATACAGTAAGGTATTTGGTGTTGTTAAATTGTGTCACTTGTACATATGTATAATTTCGGTTGTTCGGACTAGTCCTAATCGAAAGTCTCCTTCAAGTAGAGCAAATGTGGACAGTGGTGGACTGTTTTGTTTATGACTGTGAATGAGTCGTTCTTATGCTCAAAGATTTAATTGCAGTGTAAAGAAGTTTGCAGAACGTTTATAAAATATATCTAATTACTCTTGCACATGTTCTATCATTACCCAGGAGATATTATATCAGTGTCATGAATGAACACATGTGCAATGAATGAATGAATGAATTAATGTCAATCTCTGCAATGCTGGTTTGTGTTTTAAATTGGAAAATGTATTAAGCCTCTACTATGTTAACTTAACAAGTCCATGTCAAACTCTCTACTTGTGTTCGTTCCAGAGTGCAGCCATGAGCTGAGGCTCCCCAAACCCACCTTTCTCAATGATCAACGACAAGCTGGTGTTTTTGGGTCTCCTTTACTTCATCCAGGGCATTCCATATGGCCTGCAGTCATCCCTGCTCCCAGTGTACCTGCGCGGTGCCGGTCACTCTCTCACCCGAATCAGCCTCACCAAAATCCTCTACTTCCCCTGGGTGCTCAAGGTGCTCTGGGCCCCTCTGGTGGACCGGACTGGCACCAAGCGCTGCTGGTTGGTGTGCACGGTGGCTGGTCTGGCCCTCACCTGTTTAGTGAGCGCTGCTATTTCACCTGATGTCCAGTACATGGTTGTGGCGGGCTCCCTGCTTGTCATGAACTTGCTGGCATCCGTGCAGGACATTGCAGCTGACGGGGTGGCCGTGCGGCTGCTCAGGGGGCAGGGGGAGCTGGGTTTGGGGAACACTGTGCAGGTGGTTGGGTATAAAGCTGGGTCTGTGTTTGCTGGAGGGGGGCTGCTGGCTGTGATTGATGTTGCAGGCTGGGGCTGGATGTTCACACTGCTGGCTTGTGTGTACGGTGGTGTTGCTCTGTTTGTGTGGGGCGCCCCTGTGTTGGACGGAGAGCCGGCGCGGGGACAGGGAGAAGGACGGAGGGGGCCAAAGGAAGTGATGCAGCCCTGGAAGGTGTGGAGGAAGCTCTTGTCTGTGCCAGGAACGACATGGACGATGTTCTTCGTCCTCACTTACAAGCTAGGTAAGATATTTGTCATAATTTGACACCATTTATTAAGTTGTAACTAACCTATTGTTTTGTACTTGTCTACTGAATACATATGTATATATATTTTAGACAGTTTAATATGTATGTTGTTTCTACATCACCAGAAAAAAATTTCTGAAACTTTACCCCACTATGCTGACATTCTGTTGATTTACTACTGTAGTCACTTTCCATCTTGACATTTACAAATCATTTTATTAAAATAAATTTTTTATTAAAAAATATATGTGTGTATATATACGTTTAATTTTAATACAGTTATTTGTAAAGGTTAAATATTATGTATGTGCTCATGCTGTGATAGCTATACAGTTATAAGTAAAGTTCCTAAAGTTATTTAGCAGGAAAGTGACTAATTTATGTTAGAATGGTGGGACAGAGTGAAAGTTATAAATCAAAAACTACAGCAACAACACCAACATATTACTGTCTTCAGTGTCAGATGGTTCAGAAATTATTCTAGTATGCTGATTTGCTGCTCAAGAAACAATTATTATTATATAATTATTTATTATATGTTGAAAGCAGTTGTCTACAATTTGTTTTCAGGATTCTTTGATGAACAGAAAATAAAAAACAGCTTTTAACTGAAATGGAAAGCTTTTGCAACATAATAAATGTCTATACTGTCACTTTTGATCATATCCTTGCTAAATAAAATTATTAATTTCTTTAATTCCTTTCCAAAAAAAAAAACCTCTTACTGACCCCAAACTTTTGAACGATAGTGATAATGTTACAAAAGAAAAAAAAAAAAACTGAAAAAAATGGTACACAAATGTTTTCAAGATTGATAATAATAATAATGTGTGTTTCTTGAGCACCAAATCCGCATATCAAAATGTTTTCTGAAGGATCATGTGACACTAAAAACTGGAGTGATGTTGCTGAAAATTCAGCTTTACCACCACTTGAATAAATTGTATTTTAAAAAAATATTCAAATAGAAAACAGATCTTTTAAACTGTAAAAATATTTCAATATTACTGTTTTTTCTGTATTTCCGATCAAATAAATGAAGCCTTGGTGAGCAGAAGAAAGTTTTTGAAACATAAAGTCGTACCATTCTAAGAACTTTGGCCACCACTCTATATATATATATAAAGTGGTGGCCAAAGTTCTTATATATATATATATATATATATATATATATATATATATATATATATATAATGGGTTAGGAGAATAACCCACTATATATATATATATATATATATATGAAGAGTTCAGATGCAAAAGCCTCTAAATGCCATTTGAAATTTTCTTCTTTAATGATGATTTTTATCAAACTTGTATATTTAAGTTCAGTAATTTCACTTAAATGGCAATGATAATCACCTATTAATTGTTATTTAAGTGAAATTACTGAACTTAAATAAACACATTTGATAAAAATCATCATTAAAGAAGAAAATTTCAAATGGCATTTAGAGGCTTTTGCATCTGAACTCTTCATATATATATATATATATATATATTTTTTTTTTTTTCAGAAACATTACTTTACTGTTCAGTATATAGGCTATATATTTTTTTTTTAGTTTATGGCCAGTCCTGGTAATGTTTTGCCACAAGATGGCAGCCTTGTCCTTTTCCATCCTTGCTGTCACATTATTCTCTATGACTTTGAAGCTGCTAAACATCAGGAAACCGCACACAGTTGGGTCATCCAGTTGTTCAGAATGTCTGCACTGAAACTGATATTGAAATCTTTCATTCAACTTTGAGCTAGCATTTAACTACAAGCCTAACTTCTATGTTATGATTTGAATCAATAATATAGGCATACATAGCAGCTAATGAATCACTTTCAATGAGCTGAATGTGGTGTTTGGCACCAGAAGGGGATTATGTCCAGATTAGTCTTTGTGTCTGTGGTATCTTCATCGAAAACGAAATTTGTATGTTTATTTGAATGTTTTGTATGTGTGTGTGTGTGTGTGTGTGTGTGTGTGTGTGTGAATGTGTGTGTGTGCCACCTCATTTAAGTGCAATATTTTTTGTCAAATTTAAACAATTTAATCACAAAACCAGGCTTTGTGTAACTTGTTAATGTATGTGGGTATGTGTCTCTGGCAAAGAGAGAGAGGTGGCACTGTAATCGGATGAGCTCCAGCAGACAATATCAGACAGGACAAGCGGCAGCCCCAATCTTAATCCGTCTTATAAGGTTTCTCCCCCTGATCATCATCATAATCATTATTAAATAGCACTTTCTGATGAAACAAATTACTTCAAAATGCAATAACATCTTTCGTTTACAAGTGTGCTAGTAAAGTACAAATCTTTCAAACAGGATGCATTTACTTTGCATAAGATTTGTTTAGGGAATATGCATGAATTGATGTTTATTTTCTGTTTTCCATTGGCAAAGTTTTTTTCCTTTTTAATAGAAATCAAACAGTTTTGTGCAACTAATGTTTAAAGCAAACAACAACAAAAAATCAATTTGCCTGTGGGATGAGAATCTAACTTTTTAGTCTCTAATAAGTCTTAGCTAATGCAGATTTGCATTATTTATTTTAAATATTAGTATGATTTTCTTCTAGAAAACAAGACAATTTTTGATTCAGAAAAATTGTTTTGCTCTGTGTATCTGCAAAATATCACTAAAAGACAATAAAAATCACTTTAAAAACTTATTAACACACATTGATGTTGAGTGGAGATAGAAAGTCTTAGAATCCATTCATTTAAATGGCCGTTTGCAGTTTTTATTTAACTTCAATTGATTGTTTCTCAAAAGCTTTATGGGATCATATATATATTACAGTTCATAGGAATTCACAAACTATAAGATTTTAAATACTTCAAGATTTTAAAAAGATGTTTATTGGATTGTAGAATAATGTGATAATCTTACTAAGTTGTCAAATCAATCACATTTTACAGGGTTGCATGTCGTCTATTGCATCATAGGTTGTTACCAAAATGTGTTCAACCCAAGCGTTGATAAAGGGTGACGGAGGGACAGTGATGGGATGGAGGGGGCTGGGATTTGGCCAGACGTGGTGCTTCCCTGGGAAGTGTCCAGCTGGAGATGGGAGTCTAATTGTGGGGGGTTCTCTGAATGGGAGTAGAAGACCACTTTTGCTCTGTGTCTCTCTGTCTTTCACTCTCTTGCTCTAACTGTATATACACACTCACACACGCTTCTATGCCTGTATATCGCCTGATGCTTCCCTCCCTCTGTCCAGCACAGCAGGGGCCGGGGAAAGGAGGGGCTTGCAGGGGGGATGGAGGGGTGACGCGAGCAGGAGGCAAATATTTTCTAGAGGGTACGCAGAGGACTGCAGGGGGGATGAATTAATGAACAACCACCACATGCTCAACTATGAGAGAGAGAGTGAAAGAGAGCGAGAGAGATGGTGGGGTGCAGGGGGCATCGGGTATGACGAAAAAGCGTGTGAGTTGAGGGTGATAGGAAGAAGATGAGTAAAGTATGTGATGACCTACCTTGTTTTCCCATTGTCTGGACCATTGTGTAACTTGGGTGTGAACATTAAAAAGCATTCTGTTTAGATATGTGAGCTTACATCACTCTATGAGTGCGTCTCCGTTCCCTATCCTTACCACCGTATCTTCTCTCACGGTTTTTCTCTATGCTTTTGTTTCATCCGAACATTTGTGTCCCAGAACGTAAAGGGAATAACCTAGACCTTGGCGTATTCTAAACGCAGAGGTCCGTAGAGACTTGGTACGGAGCTTGTCGTTGGTTAAGGAGCATTAACAATGGGGTTGTGTGACCTGCTCAAGTACACACAGATGCAGATACACACGGCACAGTGACCTACATGAACTGGGAGGGACCCAGGTTCCTCGGGCTGTTCCCATGCTGAAGTCTCTAGTGACTTTGGATCGTAGAGTTGGTTTTAGTCACCATCGAGTTCAGGTGGCGTTACATTGAAATGCATGCTCATGTTGCTCCAAACCCGTATGGCTTTCTGTTTTCTGTCGAATACAAAAGTTGAATACTTAAATAATATCCTCCTGGCCTTTCTTTTCTGTGCAATAAAAATAACTGAGGTCTGGGGCTATCAGGTTTTAACAATAGCATGATAGCCTTGTGTGACGAACCGAGTAAAAAGGGAATCATTATTTATGGATATTCTGAACATCTGTATTGATGTTGGTGGTGATATCATGAACTCACTTGCTCAATCTGATTTTATCAACACATTGGATGGAAAGATCTCTGTTAATAATCATATACATGCGCGTCTTTTCATATATGGTGCTTTTTTTCCCCTTTTACTTTACATAGAAGAAATAAAGTTTGGACCAACATGATATAGCCTATATATAAAAAATTCAGTGGCAGAAAACTTTAAAAGGAGCTTCAAATATTTCATTGGGTTTCAGTCAGTACCACTATAGTATGATTGTTGTACAGTTGCTGTCATAATTGTTCAGTCTCATCCTGAATCTGTAGTCCATTTTTGTCTTCATCTGTTCCCCATTATCTATCGTTGTTAAGCGAGGTGAACTGATATACGGTAGCGTAGCGTCTCTCCCCACTCTCTCTCTACTCCCCCATTTCTCCTCCCAGTGCCTCCTCTCTTCTGCTGTGTTTTTGTGGATGTCTAATGAAATCCCATGTGAAATGGACAATTGTTGCTTTGAGATTATTTATAGACATAAATAAGCAGCCTTGTTGTTTGTTTTCAATCCCTGCTTAAAAAATAATTAGTTTGAAGCAGCGTAGGGGAAAATATAAAAAGACTAAGACAGAGCGCTGAAGCGCATGTCCAGACTTCACATATAATACGATCTACAGCATCTGATGTTCAATTATCATTTTTGGCATTTTGTATACATTTAGACTATCATGTTGTTGACACTGATCACTATTTGTTTCACAGTGTTGACTTTACATCCGTTTGTGATATTTTAGTGGAAATGTAGATTCGTATTATTTTAAGGATTAAGAATTTCTAATCTATGATTTTGTCTCATGTCACATATTGTTTGAAAAGCTGGTCTAGTGCACATTTAATAGTTCTAAAATCATTGGAATTATTATAAAAACAAGCCATTTTGATTGTTTGTATAATACATTTTTAATAACATTTCAATTTTAGATAAAAAGCAATTTAGTTTTCATCAATGTCACATTAACTTGTTTTGCTGGGAAAATCTAATCAACTTTAAAAATGCTTGTTTAGTTCATAAGATTATGCATGGTTTGGCTCCTCCTCCTCTGGCTGATTTTATTAAATTTAAATCTACTAAAAACTGAGTAACAAGAGGTGCAATTAGGGACGATTGTATAATTCCACATAGGAAAACTTTGTTTGGTCAAGCTGCTTTTTTCATTCAGAGCCTCACATCAGTTGAATACTGTACCACACTCAATTAGAGAATGCTCATCATTTAACTAATTTAAGCATCATTTTAAGAAATGTCTTTTTCATAATCAACAATGTGAACATTAAAACTGCCTCCTTTATTATTAATATTTACATTTTAAATAGTAATATTTAACTCATAACAATGTTTTTTATCTATCTTTTTTATTGTGTATATATTGTTTTTTTGTATGTTTAATTGTATTTTACAGAGTTATTTACAAGTTTTTGTTCTATTATTGTTGTAATGTTGTACCTTTTTCTCTAGTTTTAGGCCTGATAACATCTGGCAAAGGGACTACCAATGAATACTAGCCTTTGGGCTAATTTGGGTATTTACATTTGTGAATGTTGATTAATGTGCACTGTCCCTTTTCGAAAGAAAGAAAGAAAGAAAGAAAGAAAGAAAGAAAGAAAGAAAGAAAGAAAGAAAGAAAGAAAGAAAGAAAGAAAGAAAGAAATTAAAAAAAAATAGTAAAATGTTATATGGTTGATACATTTTTTTTTTCCCAGCACATATAATATGGTGCAAGTATAGTTTCGAATACATTTTTACTATGGTAAAATTTACCTCTGTAGTTCTACCTGTGTTTACTATGCTCTTAAATAAATTATGGTTATACAGGAACTGTGCTAAATTTTCTCAAGGGTTAGGTTATAATATAAATGACTACTTTGACATTAATCAACACACAATATAAGCAAAGTAACATGTGGTTTCAATGTCCAATGTGCAAGGTAAATGTAACTGACTTGTATCATCCTACATAAAAGTGCATTCTTATTCCTTGAAGGCATTGGACCTGGGTGGCATAGCTGCCTTATGATTCTCTAAGAAAAGATGTGCTGAATGTGAAAATTTAGTTCCATTGTTCATTGTTGCCACCACATTACAGACTTTTTAACATCCTTTACAAGTTTAGTTCTACTGTCAGACTCAATTCTCCACAAAGAAAGCAATGTCAAAGCGCTCACGTGCATCTGTCAGCGACAGTAGCAGAACTCAGGCAGAAGCGTCTGATTTTTGATTTTCTGTTTTTGTTTCTCTCCGGTTTTATCCCGGGGTCCCCGTAAGCGCAGTTTCTGTTTGACGGCGGTCTCAGAGCTGTCAGTCAGCGGGCTGTCTCGCTGTCAAACTGAAGGCAGACTCCATAAATAATGACAATGGCGTTAAATAATACACGGCGGCGGGTTACCGAGGCCTCTGTGCACCCACTACCATGCAGCGAGGCAGCACAGGCAGGACTCGGCACAATGTAACGGCAACGTTTTCTCTTGCAGTTTTTGTTTTTGTCAGAGTTTAAGTGACAAACTCTCAGGAAAAAAAGAAATGACTGGAAGGCAATCCAGGCACTGATCCTTTGAGGAGTAAAGTGCTAAAAAACAAAACAAAACGTGGCCTCTGCTCAGGTTATCTTCACTTTTTTCCACTCTCAGACATGGCTGTGTTTTATTTTGACTAAGTTTGTGCTGTGATATGTTGTTAATTGCCAGTTTTGAGAAAAGTCTGATGCAATGTGCTAAGAATGCAACACATTTTCAATAATCCGGTCAATTTTCTTGGTCTGTTTGTTCCCTCTAACTAAAGTGCAGAGTTTTCCTAAAAGAGCATTTACAATCATGTGTGTGTGTGCCCTGATGTAATCCTATATTTTGTGTCCAGGTGAACAGGGGGCTATCACCATGTTTCCACTCTTCCTGCTGGACCACCACATGACTGCCAGAGAGCTGGGGGTGTGGAACGGCATGGTTGCCATGGCATTTTCCATCTGTGGCTCATCAATTGGGGGCTTCTTGCTCTCTCAGTACAGGTAGGGAGTGAGTTTTATCATAAAACGATGGTGAAACTGACTCAATTCGAGCTGCAACACCCTTTCAGCCAAGTCACGCTTTGCCATTAATGTTGCAGGAATGGTGTTGGAAGACTTTGTTGTTTGGATTTCACCTTACATCTTTTTCTAAAACCCCTCTTGCTTTATCGGTTTTTGTGTCCCGCCATCTCTCTGTGAAAGAAACACGGCCCTTTTCTTTTTCTCAGTGTTTTCTCACTATATCTCTGCACCCATCTCAGCCCCAGGTGCGAAAGAAGGAGAGAGAAAGCGATAGAGAGTGTGTGTGAGAGATAGAAAGAGTGATAGTAATGGAAGTAAACACAGCCTTTTGTGGGAGCTGAGAGTAAAGCAGGCTCAGGTGTGAGCTGAAAGGCCTCCAGGATGCATAAGGTTGGACTGCGTGAATGGAGATATACTTGTTGCTGATACGCTGCCCTTGTCTACTGACCTGAGACCGGTTTTTACCAGTTATGTCTTGTAATAGTTAAGATAGGATGTTGGTGGTCTAAACCGTTCCAAGAGCAGTCGAAGTCGCTTATCTTCCTGGAGCGGTATTGACTCATAAGCCCACACACCTGTTAGTGTGCTCAGAGAAAGGCATGAGGAAGAGGATTTTGGAGAAAGACGGGTGCAGTGGTTCTGTGTTTACTTTGTTCCAGACTTGAGGGCAGACATCCAGTCATGTATCCGAGTTTAAAGAAGTGAAATGATACTTTTCATACTGGACATGTGCCATTTTCTCCAGGCTGTTTTTCTTTATATTATGGCATCATGAACATGCATTTTAATGCAGTTTTACACACCACTGGAATGCATTATCTTCTGCACTTGACGGTTGGTGTGTACTTTAGTTAAAATGATGTAATGTTGGTCTATTAATAGCCTGAGAGTAACATCAACTTTAGTCTACTGTCTCTGTGAGATGCAATTTCCTAACCATCTTAAGTTAGTCACTGGGGTGATGCAAACATTGGCTAGATCAGAGGCCACCAAATCCAGAACAAAAAGTTTGGGGTCAGTAAGATGTTGTTGAAAGAAATCTCTCACCAATGTTGTTGCATTTATCTGATCAAAACTGTTTTATATAAAATGTAGCCATTTCAGCAGCCATTACTTCAGTCTTCAGTGTCAAATCATTTGAATGTGCTGATTTGTTCAAGAAATATTTATTATCAATTAAAACAGCTTTTCTGCTTAATATTTTTAAGGAATCACATTGGAATTACAGTGGAAACTGTGATAGATTTTTCAGGATTTTTTATAAATAGAAAGCTATATAATAGAGCAGCATTTATTTGAAATATTTTTCAAATATATTTACTATTTGAAAATATTTGAAATATATTTACTGTCCCTTTTAAGCAATATTTTTCAAAAACACTTTTTATACTGTTTTTACTGTTTTTTATACACTTTTTATACACTTTCTTTTTACTGTTTTTTTTATACTGATAGGAATCAATAATATAAGTGGTATAGATATTATACAAATATATATATATATATATATATATATATTTTTTTTTTTTATGTTTTTTTTTTTTTTGATGATATTTAGTTCTCGTGATAGCCTCAGAACCAAAATAATGCTTGTCCAATCATTGCCTTTAGTCCGAATGTAATGCTACGGACCGGTGTCTTACCTGCCTGTAAACCTATGTATTTCCATACCTCTGCTCCATGAGGCATGCAGAGTTGTAGACAGACGTGAGACAGACAGAGTGCCACAAACAAACAGCAGCCGGCTTTTACAGTCCCTCCTGAACCAAAAAAACAAGCTTACGCTGTGTTCACTCCATGTCATAACCATAATTACAAGATGGCAACTTGTGACTTTCTACTCTGGGCTGTTCACATCCTAAGTGTCCGATTTATGCTTTTCTATGTCAACACTATCAACGGTGAAATAAATCTACAGCAGTCAGGTGCTACAAGTCAGATCTCTGTAAGTTGTTTATGTTCATTATTATTGTAAAGCTATGTGCTTTGAAACAGGCAATTTAACACCATCTCTTGTGATGCTTTGCAGACTCTGGTGTGTGTGTTCATGTGTTTTGGGGGAGGCGTGGCTTTGGAGACACTCTGAAGGAAGGGTGTGATCTTGCGTTTTCAAAGCTAGCTTGCTATACGCCTTATTCACGGCAGCGCCATCTTTGATTTTTAATGAGAATGAAAGCGAGGCTGTGAGGGATAGTCATGCATCTCTTCAATGGGCTGTACTGTTATTTAATGTGTTTTCGGATTGTTCTGCTCACGAAACACTGAAAAAATATCTTTCCAAGAAATTTCAGTTGACAAAAAACTCCCGACAATGTAAGCTGTGGAAAATTGTAAGTATCTAGCAGTTTTATTCAGCTTTTTACAGCGGATGCCATTGGAAACACGGTAAGTCTATCCCTCACAGCCTCACTTTCATACCTGTCATGGCGCTGCTCTGAATAAAGTGTATTGCTAGCCTCTCCAAAGTTGCCTACCCTAACTTTAATGCATCCTTCTGAAATACAAGTATTTATTAATAAATTAATAAATACATTTATTAAAAAATACAAGTAATTATTAAAAAATTTAAATAATAAAAAAAAAATAATAATTAAAAAAAATTAAATAAAAAGGCTTTGAGATGCTATGGCCTCAAAGAAATTTGGATGGAGACTGTAAAAATGAGCATGCCTTCAAAATCAGAGGAGACTCATGTATAAAACTTTGTGTGAATTTCATCCTAAAAAGTGCGTGCGCACAAAGGTTTTCAAATTTGTAAAACCGTATGTACACCATAGACTGTAAAAAAATTGTAAAAAAAAATCAGTAGAAGATTGTGCGAACATGCATCTCCAGACTCCACCCCTCCTCCTCCCCAAAAATAACCATATGAGGAGTTTTAACTCCTGGGCTCCTTATTCATATCCTCACCTGCATATCATTTTCATTGCATATTTCCATCCATGTAATAGCTTAGTACTGCTTTCAAAGACACTTGGACAATATGAGATTGAGATATTTGGACTGTAAATGCTATTTGTGCCGTCACATTACATCGCTAAGACTCATCCTGTATCCTTGTCTTGTTTAAAATATCTGTTAAAAAAATGTCCACAATTGTAGGTATAAAATACTTTTCAGAAAAGATTCTCATTCATTCCTTTTGACAAAATTAGATTATTTTCAATTGTTTTAAACAAAACAAATCTATGCAGTTTTGTACATAAAATAAACATATTTTAGAATGTTAAGACTGAAAAAGATACTTATTTTTCAGTGTAACAATTTTTTTTAAACTGTGCTTCACACAGAACAAATAGACACGTGTAAATCTAACCAATTCCTTTAAATAGGCATTGTCATGATGCTTGGAAAACTGCATAAGGTGTTATCAGTAGGCTACTGTCAGTCTGCTCAGGAAAAACAGCACACCTGTGTGCAGTGTGGCAGCAGTTGTACAGTACTGTGTCATCGGACCATTCGACACCAGAAGAGTCTGTGAGTGACTGTCATTATACTGCCTGTGTTGCTAAGCCATCTTAGTCGAGTGCGTATCACTGATCATTATTCGTGTGAAAATATTTTGTTCTACTATTTAGTATTCAATTCAAAGCAGAATTATCATGTAAAAAATGTAGCATTGCTCTGGAAAATTGGTAAAAAGCAGCACATCTATTACACATATTCACATACAACTTGTGGATAATGATTTAATGTAATGCTTAACTCCATTAATGAGAATGGTATATTTCATATAAATGTGTATATCAAATGGAAAAGTTTAAAATCATTTTGTTTACGACGTCATTATTTCACTCACACCGATGAACAATTGTGGTCTGGAGTGTGCGGACGGTGTGTGCGTATTTACGCCAAATACATTTTTTATAAGTCCTGATATGTGGGTGGAAAATTGAGTATGTATATTTTAATTCCCATTTTGTGCAATGTTTATACATGAGGACTGGGGTGAGTGGGAAAGATCTGCAGTCCCGAAACATGCATTCAATATCTACTGTACTCTCTCAAATTTTCTTACCTTTCTCTCTAACCTCTCCGTTATCCTCGGCCCCTTCATCTTTTTCCTACTTTACCTTTCTCCCACCTTTCTCTCTCTCTCCGTCTCTATACTAAAGGCGGTGTTAGTGAATGAGAAAGAATGTAAAGTTTCACACGCAGGGGGCTTGTTCATTCGACACAGTCGTGCATTCAGGCCTTGCTTCCCACAGATTGGGTTTCTGTCGTTGTCTGTTCAGGGCCACTAAAAGCTAATTTGGACACTTATCCCAGCCCCATCTGAAATGCTTGAGTGGCCAACAACTGACCCCCATACACTGATCGCCATCAGCAATCTGAGAGTCCCAATCTTATCGGGCCTAACTGCTCGTGTGATACGCCTGTTTTAGACTTGCTTTCGATCTCTCGCATCCTTCTCTCTCTCTGTTTTCCTCTTCGAGACTCTCTCTGTCTTTCTTACAGCTCTCTTTTTCTCTCTCTCCTCTCATCTGAGTGAAATATGAAAGAGTGTTATTGAGTGGATGCAGGGAGGGTGTTTGCATGAGAATGATGGCAGATTGGCTTTCTGTCTGACCGGCTGCTGTTGTTGACTGGGTTCGTCTAGATCTAAAAGGCTGGTTTAAGATGACAGACGATTCCTTACTCTTCTCTTAAAGTTCAGTTGACCTTTACCCGCATCTCCGTCTCTCTCTTTCTCAACTTTCTTTCTGCCAGAGGCCTCTGAGTTTATTCACATGGAAAGGATATTTAATTGATGATGCAATTTTATACTTATTTTTTTACTAATTTTCAGGCAACAGATGCTGTCGCTTATTAATCATTCTGCCTGACCGATTTAAGCATTAATACATTTGTTTATTTTAGAGAACATGATGTAAAATTATGTTAACTGTACTGATAATTGGAAATATTAACAACACAGTAGAAGCCGTGAGTCCAGGCGCTGTGTGGGATTGACAGGGCCCAACGGGTGTTCTGATTGGAGCTGGGAGAAATTGAGGTGTGTGATGGTCACTAATTAGCCGGGGGTAATCAGCCCGTGTCTGTGGATCTTGTTGTGGTATTGATTATGTCGTGACTCGTGACGGAAGTTCACCCAGTGGGATTCTTAACTGTTAATAGAGAATCAATTAGAGTGTGTAAGCAAACACACTGCATGTAAGCATGTGTACAGGAGTGCTTCTCTGTCTCAGTGTGGAAGTCCTGTGTGGTTGACCCTCATTAATGTCCTACATTGATTGATCTGTAAAATATTGGCATGGTTTATGTTTTTTATGTATATCTTTTGAACAGTAGTGCAATATAATTTAACGTTAAAAAAGTTTAGGGTTGGTAAGATTTGCTCAACAAGGCTGCATTTATTTGATAAAAAAAGATATATTATTACAGTTGAAATCTTCTGTTTTAATGTATATTTTAAAATGTAATTTATCCCTGTGAATTTTCAGCAGAAATGAGTCGTCATTGTCACATGATCCTTTGTGTAATATTTTTGTGGAACCTTTACCTGTGATAATAAATAGAAAGTTGCTGAAATGCTGAAAGAGCAGCTTTTATTTTTTTTTGTAACATAATAAATGTCTTTACTATTACTTCTGTCAAATTCAAATTAATCTTTTCTGTAAAGTGTTCTGTGACTCATGAAAGTATTACTTTAGAACTTTAATGTATATAATTATGTATGTATTTGTGTAGTATGAGATGATATGAACTGAACTTTCTCTCTTTTATGTTCTCAGTATTGGCCTGCTGATGAGACGTGTGTTTATGATCCGGACTATCAGCATGGTCTTTCAGAGCTCACTTCTTGTAGTGCTGGAGCCCTCACTCTTGATGAAAGGTGAGAAATTCACATACATGAACATTCTATAGGACCAGCATATTTTTATTGTATTTTTTTATTTTATCTCTTTGAATAGTGCACTCACTGCTTTATAAATGTAAGGACAGGGGAAAAACTCCCACTGGATGTTTTTCAATGCATTCAAAAGTGCCATGTTTATGACTGCCATGTACATTTTATGGGTACAGTTTGTTTTTAAGAGTCAAATAGCTCACCTGTAATTATGTATATATAGAAGTGAAATTGACCTGTTCTCCGCTGAGCTTTCTACTGTTCTCCTGCATTTAAGAATCCATAGGGCCATCTCCGGTTTCCCGCGTTTTCCACTGACAGACTACAATCTCCATTTCAGCACCTTGCACAGAGTAAACAGGTGTTCAGGCAGAGTGTGTCTGAATAAAACTCTCAACGCTGCATTAAACAACAGCATCTGATAAAAAGGGAGAGTATTAACATGAATGTCACACAGACCAGTTCATATAGAGTTCATCTTGCTGTATGGTGAGATCAGAATCAGAAAATTACAAAAAATCTAAAGTTGATGTGTGCGATGTAAAAATATGTTATTTTAAAATTGTTAAATGTATGTATAAATCAAATATTTACATTATTTACACTCTTTATATGGCAGAAATAATTCATTATCAAAGTTTAAAGGTGCCATATGGAATAATTGAGGTAAAAATATCCAAAAAATGAGCTACACACATGAGAAAAGAATGAGAAGAAATAAGTGCAATGATGTCATTAAAAAACTGACAAGTTATAGTGCTGCCGAGATATAACCTAAATTAGCATGCTAAATTACTAGCCCCGGCCCGGCAGGTGTCGTAATACCAGTTTCGGCCATGGGAGGCGGTATGCGGGCGGGCAACATTGCCACCAGTCAAACTGCAGTAACACGAGTAAGTCGCGCCGGCTTGTGTGTACTTAAACCTGATGTCATGTGAAAAGTTGTGTGTCTCACGGTGAATTCGTGAGAGTTGGCAGTTCTGAAAGACGCTAGCTTGGTCCACATCAGGGAATGCTGTCTGTCAAATTAATTAAAACTAATGATAAAAATGTAACACGAATACCATAAACTAAAAATGCCTGGGCTTTAATTTTCCCATATCGTCGAAATGCACCGGCTTGTCAATGAGACGGCCTTTATAATTTAGCATTGAGATGTTGTTCATTTAGTCTCTAATCTCTGAAAATCTCCAAATGATCCACGTGAAACTGCGGTCTTCCAACCTTTTACTATTAGTTTTACTGATTAATATGCACGAGGGAGCGCTCGCCTGTGTTGTTTGAAGACATGAGTGCGCGCGGCCGCGGAGGTATTTTTCTGGAGGTATACTGCCTCCATCTGGTATGGAATATGGTGTATGATTTGATTTTTTATCCCAGAGGGCACCTTTAACATATATAAAATAATCCAAAAATTAATACGATCATCACCTAAGCGACCTCTGAAGAATCAAAAAGGAAAAATACACATTTTCAAATTTATCCCGACAGCAATTGGCAATTTTTGAGTCTGTTAACAAACTTGGTTTCATTTCATCAGGTGTTCAAGGCTGGTTATTTGGTATCCGTTTTAAAATAAAATCCATAGTACCAGAGGCTGATATGTTACCGAAAAACAAACTTTTAGTATTGATCCAACTTTTATTCAATAAATCTTCTGTAAGACTCGTGTAGATCTGTTCTGATTACCATCTTCATAGTCCTAGTGCTTGGATTCAGCATAATTCAAGTAAAATTTTATGCATGAACTGTGTAAAAGTGATCATACAGAAGTTATGTCAAACATACTCTCTCCCGGTTCAACTTGCTTAAGTGGATTTGCGTTTCTGTTTCTGTCTGCGAAAGCTAACGCTATTTTACCTTGAGTATTCTCACGGCTCACTTTGATAAATGAATAAACCCATATTCATACCCTCTGCCTTTTTCTCTTATTTTTCCTTGCGCGGTCTCTTTCTCTCACAGGTGCTTTGAATGTTTATTTAATGAAGATGAAAAAAGGAAAAGGGGGAAACTCTTGCGTTTTAGCTGTTTCACTCTGTATTTTTTGCCACTGTATTACTTCTTCCCCAGGATGTCGTTGCTTTTTAGTCAAGATGTTTTTGTCAGCGAGCTTCTGTTTGACAACTCCCTCATCTCTCTGTCTTTCTTATTCTCTCTCTCTGTCTCTCATTTTGCCACTCTCCCTAACCAAATGGAACAAAGCAACTCTGCACCCCATCTAACCCCCCTCAAAAAAAAGAAGAATGATAAAGTTATGCAGAAAATATTTTTCAATATTGTATGAGACTGGATGCCTCAGAAGAGCTGATTCTCCTTCCTGTGGTTCCTGGATAAGTAATGGAGAAGTCTTGTTAGGCAAAACTAAACATTTCCAGTGAATAATTCAGATGGAGCTGGATGTGAAAGCTTCATGACTTTTTTTGTGCAAATGGGCTTCTGGTAATGATTGATTTGAGATTCATGATTTTTAGAGGCTTTAATGGTAGACGGTCTGTCTCATGCTCTGGGTGGACGTCCTCAGGTGAATTTAATAATCAACTTAAAAATGGCCAAAAAGACACAGATTTGCGTCAATTGTGGCTACATGCAGTCAGATTCGACTGTGTCTAAACGGTTAGTAGTTTGACATGGTTCTGTCTGCATGAATAATAGTCTGGGAGAGCTCATTTTTATAACAAGCATGTACAGTACTGTTCCTGCTAACAAAGGTATGACAGTTGAGTATGAGTAGAGCTGAAACTGTGTGAAAATTTCATATCATTTTACATTTTTACATTTTATTTATTTAGCTGACTCTTTTATCCAAAGCGACTTACAATTGCTATATACGTCAGAGGTCGCATGCCTCTGGAGCAGCTAGGGGTTAAGTGTCTTGCTCAGAGACGAATTGGTGTCTGACAGTGGATTCGAACCCGGGTCTCTCACACCAAAGGCATGTCTTATCCATTGCTTCATCACCACCCCTATATATCATGATATAGTGACCAAAATTACCATGATTATCAATATTTTCATGGTATTGTTAAAATGTGCTGGAGATGTACAGATATGTACACTGAAATCATTTCACCAAGTTTTATGCAGAAAACTTAAACTGTTAACTCCTCTTTTCATCCTTCCGGAGTTCCTCCGTGTGACTCTTGGCCATGCTCTGACAGATTTTAAAGGTGCTCTAAGAGATGTTGGGTGACGTCACTTCTTGTTGACGTCCCCTCCCCCTGTAGTTTTACTGACACTTCATTCAAGGTGTAATGTCGCCAAGTTAGATAAATGCTTTCATATAATGCAGAAAAAGAAAAACTACCAGGAAAAACATGATAAAACGTTTCGCCACCTGAGGTTACACCTTAAGGCCCTTTCACACCGGATGCGTAACGGAAAAGCGAAACGAAAAAGCGAATAGTTCGCGTGAGAATATTTCGCGTCAAAACCATTCACATCAGCCGCGACGCGAATTTGCGACGTTCAGAACTTCAACATTCCAAAACATTCGCGCCGATGAAAGCAGACCTGATTTTCATCAGAAAACGTAGGCTACTCTATTATAGCCTATAGGTGAATAAATATAGATTTTATATTAGATGTCTTTTTGCAGTGATGTTAACATGATGCTTTAATAGGCTTTATAAAATAAAAAAAAATCCCAATCTCTAAATAGCACATTTCAAATAAGCACACGTCCATTAGGAAAGATAAAGATGAATGCGTTCTTACCGGATTCGATCAGTGCATTTTGAATTTATATTGTTTGTCTGATGATCTGGCAGCTTCGATTGGACCTTCTTTTTAATTATGTGCATGTCAGTAACTCGCACTACTGGCAGGTGGAGCTCACTTTCACCAGTTCACTTTAGGTCCACAGTTCCTTGTCCGCGCAGCATTCATCAGAGCAAACACTCTCTCCACGAAGAGTTTGTTTGTTTGTTTGTGATGGCTCCATTAACGTCTGTGCTGTGCATTTTCTATGTTTTCTTATTACATTTTTTTTTTAAATTGTAGAATTGTTATTTAAAGGACGATTAAATAAAAGGATGCAGACAAAAAAATGCGGTACAGTGCTATGACTTGCGGGACGTGGAACATATAGCTTCTTAATCACCATCATTATCAGCCAGTGAAGACAAGCTTTTTATTTTATTTAAAAGCAGAAAAGAAGGTTTGGGGCACCCACTACCGGAGCTAGAAACATATGGCAGAAGGTGAGCTGTCCCATTCATCAGGTGCTACGTTTACATGCAATCAAATAAACACTTTTAGTAAACGGATTGAAGGCTCAAATGGACTGAAAAGCCTTGTAAACACCCGGTTGGGCTCGATACGAACGAACGAGCACAACGTCCCACCAGTCCTTGTTTCAGATATTCATTCACAGACTCGACACACAAGCAATCAGAAGGTCCGTCCGTCATTGCTGCGGTCACGTCACCTTTGTTTCCCTGTATATGATTGGCTGAAGCCTTTTCTTTCGCCTCAAAAATCGACATCGAAGCGAAAAAAATAAAAGTCGTTTTTTCGCCGCAGCAGATTCGCGTTCGGTGTGGAAGCACTCATTACACAAACAGCTGATCAAAAAATAAAACCATCGCGCGAATCATTCGCGCGTCAAAATCGCGTTCAGTGTGAAAGGGCCTTTAAGCTCTCATACAAGGATGCAATAATAGCAAGATAATGATAGCTTCGCGTTTCTCAGTGAGGATAAACAATGGCTCCTTCATAACAAATTTTTATAATGAACATTCAAATTCATAACAAACAGTTGGTGAAAACAATCATTCTCACAAACTGTTACCCTACTGTGAGTTTGCTTGTTCATTTACAATAGAGATCAAGAGCTAGCTAACTTACTAGAGTTAGCTTTGACTTAGGATTTTTGTCCGATTTTTAAAGTCCCTGTAAAGTCAAAATTAAGTATGTGTTCTGAGTTTGTCACACCACAGAAAAATGTGTAATTAGCCACCCAGCCAAATTTGAATGATAAAAAAAGTCGGGAAAAAGTCTTTTTTTCTTCAAATCAAAATAGTAATTTTATGATTCCCCTTGTTGCTAGTTGGCTTGGTTCATGGGTTAAATAGGCTTTTTGGAAATCCATATGTGAGAGAATGGAAAATTACTTCCAGAACCAGTGCCACTGAAAGTCCCTGTGAAATCAAAATTTAACCTATTTACTTTGTTAGCGCATATTACTAGTCTTGTGGTGAACAATTAATCCGTGCAAGTGAATATATATTAAAAAAATGTTTTACCTTAGTAATCTTTAATCAAAATCTGAAAAGTTACTTCCGGTCTGGAACGGTTTCTTTTTCTGATGACGTAGGTTTCACAGTTTGGGTGGGGAAACGCTTAACCACTCCCCTCAAACCGTTAGTTTGCTATGAGCAAGAGATAGGGAGGAGGAGCGCTAGAGTAAAACACTGCCCTCTGTTCAATATTCCGTTTCACTTGGAAATACGTCACAGCACTGGAGAAAAATCGTTTGCAACTTCCGGTTCACGGGGACTTGAAGACAGTCAGTTCCCTTGGTTCAGGTTACACTATTTTTATTTGTGTCTGTTACGATAGTCACTGTGTGAGATTACGCGATTTTGACTCCTAAAATCTTGTCGTGTCGTAGACAAGAAACATGTCAGACTACACGTTGCTTCCTGACCAGTCATCGCGTGCCGTCTTTAACGAGGCGCGTGATGTCATAGACAAGGCGAAACTAGTAGCGAGTGACTTCCGGACGTAGACTAATCATGTTCCGTACAACAACGATGTTCCGTACAGATTAACTTTAACTGCCAATTGCTGAATAAATACTTCTAGGTCATACGCAAAATGCATATCTGTGTCATCTTCATTTCTCCCTCTTTCATCCCCGATCAAAACAGAGACACTCCAGCTGTTTGTTTCAGTGATATTTCAGTAAGTTTGCCAGGTACACCCACTTCACTTGAAAATAATCCGTGGGCAAGCTACGTCATCAGACAGCGGCTTGAGTGGGGAGACAACTAGAGCAGCGAAAATGTACATTTCAATGTCATTTATGCTTTTCCCAGTATAGCAGTCTTTATTAAATTAATATTATGTCATCTCAAATCGTTAAATATATTACCCTTTTGTTGACTAAATGCTGTGAAATGGGAATTTTTTAAAAGATTGCGGCCGATGACCGTTTAGCGCCACTCTCAGGCAGCAAAAAAGGCAGCGCGTCTGTCAGCAGTGCAGTGATAATGTTTATATTCATAAAGAGTCAATTAAGTTAATATTAACATAAATTGTTACATGGATTGAATATTTTAACATTAAAATTGATGAGCTGATCAGTTAATTTTCCATTTTCGCCATTGAAATCAAGTTATGCGCTCTGTACGGAACACCATTATAAGCCTGTACGGAACATCGTTAACGCTTATCATCTTCCGTACACAGGTGGAGGAGGTAGTTTTCCCCACTTTTCTCAAAAACGATTGGTCCAAAAGACATCAATCAAAGTGTGGACCAATCAATGGATATTCCCCCGGAGAATGATCACACAAACATGCTAGTCTCGCTCTCAGAACCAGAGGAATGGTCGCTGACGTGCGGTGATAGGCTAAAAGTGTACGGAACATGGTTAGTCTACGTTAAACAAACAATAGACGAAGCGGTGAGTGTTGACCTGTGTTCAGAAAATAGTTAAAAAAGAAAGAAAACCCGACAATGAACACGTTCCTGGATTGCTCGAAAAGGACAGTATGGGCTGTCAATCCTCCAAAGAGAACTTGAGGTAAAATATTGTTTTCTTTTTACTTTTAGCACCATCATCTCTCTTTCGTTTCGCCATTTTTAAAGTTGTGTACGGAATAGCTTGTGCTCCTATTGGTCAACCTCATACATGTGACGGAACCCGTCGTGGACGAGCGTTAAAAAAATTAAACATGCTAGTCTTTTTGTCGTGATGTCGCCCACTATGACCGAATCTTGCGTCCCGACGCCCGTTGTCATTTACGAATCCCAACAACACCATACGTCAAACGGATCACGCCAAAATGATCGTGTTATGATTATCACGGCCAAAATGATAACGGCTAAAATCGTGTAATCTGAACCAGGCATATAATTCATGCATTCTTTCATATAATTTCTCTCAGCACTCTGCCATCCATCATGTTTTCACACAAATGTGAGACTGTTACCAACTTTGCTTAATGCTGAACAGTATTTACCGCAAGTTTTTCTAATCGCGATAGTCAGGTAATTTAAATATGAAAGGTAATACTAAACGTCAAGATTTTATATCATGGCTTATCGTCAAAAGTCTGAGTAAGGCCAAGCACAAACTAGAAGACACAAGCTCGTCACCCTGCACACAGGCCGTCTCTCTCAACTAACACTGCCAGATAGTCAGTGCAATATTTCAGAGGCATTATGTGTTTTTATATGCAATATCTAAATTCGGAGCCACAAATTCAAACTTGAGGTGTGTCTGACTCTGCGATATGAGGCTTTTTGTTGCAGAATTAAAACAAGGGGACAGTTGTGTATGTTGTATTAATGAGTATTGTGTCTGCTCTTCCTCAGGTATGGCAGTCCTGAGTCTGAGTTTGCAGCATTTCATAGCCGGTCTTATCACCACTCTCACTTTCACCACGATGATGAACTGCACACAGAGAGCCGAGGAGAGCATACAGGTATCGCACACCCCCCTCTTCAACTGACCACAGCTTTGACTCTTGCTCCCTGACAGATCAGAACAGGCTGCTTAACAGCATCACAGTGTTCACCTAAGGTCAACAGCTGGACAAATCTGTTGTGTTTTCTCTTCAGTTTCAGCAGCCATACTCCAAAGACAACAAAAAAAGGCATCTTACAGTTTTTGATAGTTGTTGACAGGTAGAGTCTCACAACAGGCCGTGAGCTGCAGAAAGCCTGAGAGTGTTTCTTGTCTGCCACATACGTGAGCACATCACAGCAGTCAAAATCTCATTCATCTGTCAGTCAATATCTCCACTCAGAGAACTGAGCAGTTTTAACACTCTCTTTAGCACTGCATGTCAACTCATTTCAACTCATCAATCACCTACAAAGCACACTCATCAGAAAGTATATTCAAATTCATAGATTTGTCATTTTGATTTCTTTCTTCTTCTCTTTTTAATGTGTAGCCCAGTGGTTAGTTTGCATGCTCTGACACATTAGTGCTCATGTGAGCAATGCAAGTTTAAGATTGATTTGTGTTATTTCCAGACTCCATTCCACAAACAACTCTATGGTTTCAAAACTTTCTTCCTAGCAAAGGTCTGCAAAGATGCAGTTTGTATATATACAACCATTGAAAAAAAGTTTGATTTCAGATTTTATGGAGTAAAAACTCTTATGCTCACTAAGGCTGTATTTATATTTGATAGAAAGTACAGTAAATAAATTTAATATAATTTATTCCTGTGATGACAAAGCTGGATTTTCAGCGTCATTACTCCAGTCTTCAGTGTCACATGATCCTTCGGAAATCATTATAATATGCTTATTTGTTGCTCAAGAAACTTCTTCTTATAATCAATGTTGAAAACTATTTTGATGCATAATATGGTTTTTTTTTCTTTTGAGGAAACTTCAGGATTTTTTGGTGGATAGCAAAGATTAGAATTTATTCGAAATGGAAATTTTTTGTGAAATCATAAATGACAATTTTGATCAATTTAATGTATCATTACTGAATACATAAAAAAAACGTAGCAACTCAACTTTAAAACATTTGTCTGAAAATGAATGAAGCATTTATTATTCCAAGAATATTAATTGCAGGAGTGATTATAGGCATTCATTTCTAGGGCAGATTAATTTTTTATTTTAATTTTTTTTCCAGTCCGGCCAGTAGTTTTTACTTGTTCTGCCAACAAATACTGTATGCATTTCTTCTATTAATGTGTTAGAGAAAATATTTTCATATTTTGTTTTTCAAAAACCAGTAACTGAGAATTATATCACTATTTACAGTACAGCTATAATATTTATGAAATCCATGCTGTAAATCTATGAACAAAGAGCATACAGTGCAAAAGTTTTCTCTTGTGACAATCAGTGCCGTTTTGTTCTGAATATGGGCATAAGATAAATAAGCGGCAGATTGATTTTTTTAGTACATATTTTGTGAAACAAACCTAATGCACATTGTATTTATCTTTAGATACTGCTACTGTGCAGTGTAACTGTTCTGTGCCACTTTTATAGTTTAAAGACAGCTTACCTGTCTATCAAAAACAGTCCGTCTACTGTATATCACCTCTGTTCTTTTCAATACTCCACTCTCTATTATGTCCCACTAATCTTGTGTTGTCTAATTTCTCTCTTTGTTAGTTCAGTTGTTCATTCTCTCTATTTTGTTTATTTATGTGTACCCTAGATGATAAACAGTAGTTCTCACTGTTTCAATATCTCTCCCCTCCCGTGTTCTCGTGTTGCGCCCCATCGTTAATCTTTGACATGACAGCATTGTCCTATTTAAATGGGCCTGCGCTGCTCGCATGTGATCTTTCACTGCTCTCTTAGCTATTTGTCACTTCAACAGCTCAATACCTGCTGAATTAATGGTACTAACAAAACTCATAGCACAATAAGAGAAAGTGCTAGTATGTTTTTCCTCAGCCTCTAAGCAATTAAAAACTTCGGATTCACATTTAGAAGAAAATAACCAGGAGGATGATTGTAAACTGTAGGTTAATTCGAAATGTTCTTATAATATACTGTACACAACGTTGCGAGAGCAGCTTGTGTGTGTGTTTGTTTAAGGTGGTTTTAGATGACCGAAAACCGATACTGTGAATGTTTGTGAAAAGGCCCTAGAGAGAGAAACTGAACACCTTAAACAAGTTTGTAGGAATAAAGGTACTTCACTTAACTCTGGTGGCAGGGCCATGTGAAGGGATGGACTTGGCTTTGCTTTCCTATTCTGTGTGTTAAGTCGAAGGACTAGAGTATGGAGACAGTCTCTAACGTCCAGACAAGAGAGGGATTCAGACTGCACTTTGATCCTCCTGTTGGAATTGTTTTGATGTGAGGCGAAGTTAAAAATTTATAAATATGAATCATGTTAAAAAGTCATCTGTTATTTTGAAGAGTATAAAAAAAACACGTCAAAAAGGAAAGCAAAAAATTCTGTTGTGCGTGTAATCTGTAGTGTTACACCGGAGTTCGAATCCTGCTCAGTTTTTTTTTCTTCTAAATTCCATCTTTGCCTCCTCTCCTCGTTGTTTCCCTGTCCTGTCCTATGAAGACATAAAGGGTCATAATATTTAAATTGACAGCACAACGTATATTAGTTATTGTGGAGGTTATTTTTTATTTGTTGTGATTTTGTATATTTAATTATGCATGTTCATAATGATGCCTGCTCATTTCCCCTATTTTTACATTTAGATGACCAGTTTGCCATCATCTAACATCTACTTAATGTTTGCTTTTACATTTTTTAATATTCTTAAATTAAACATCCATTTTCATACTGTACATTATAGAGTTATTTTAGTACTATTTTATGCTATAAATACTTATATTTATTCATATTTTAAAATTTTATTTGAATATTTTGAGCTTTTAAATTTACATTTTAAAATTTAATTTTTACCTTAAAAAATATATTTATTAGGCAACATTTCTAATTTTTGTTTCAGTTTGTCATCTAACATTTACATTTTATTTTAGTCAATGGAAAACTTTTTCATAGTTTTAGTAAACAATAACAAAACTGAAAAATGTATGCCTATCATCACATGTTTTAGTGTTTAAATTCACTTGTATTATTTAACATGACAGATTTTAGTTTGTGTTTTCTTTGTTAATTTTTAGGCAATATAGTGTAGAATTGTGATATAAGTCATTTGTTGGTGTTCAGCCATAACATGAAATGTTTTAATGTAAATCCTTAATGTAAAGATCTCTTTTGTGCTGGACTTGAAAACATTTTTAAAAGTGCCTAACAGCAAAACACATTCCCCTTTCTTTATAATTTATTGTCCCTTTTTCATTATTCTTGAGTAAATCCCCAAAATTGCCTTAAAGGGATGGTTCACTTTGAAATTAATTTTTATGTTATGTTTATGTTTTATGATATGTTTTAGCTTACCTCAAGGGCATCCAAGATGTAGGTGTCTTTGTTTCCACAGTATTTTCAATTTTGACATTTTTCGGTCAAACCGTTCTTGTCTGAAAGTAATATAATGGAGGTTTAGGGGGTCCACGTCAAAGAGCATGCACAGAGAAGTCCAAATTAAACATGATTTAATGACTCGTAAATGTAAGTGCATTGATGGCCTAAGACACGAAACGAGCGTTTTGTGTGAAACAAAAACAGTATTTATATCGTTTTTACCTTGTGTAACCACAGCCATGTCCAACTGATCTGAATCAGTTGTCCAATGTCCAACTGAACCATGTCCAACATTCCGCCTGAAGTGATCGCATACAGAGATTTCGGAAGTTTTACCTTTCACTGTGAAAGTCTAAACATATTTATATACACAGGAAATCGCAATGGAAGATGATTTCGGTATATCTAAATATATTTAGTGAAAGGTAAAACTTCCAAAATCTCTGCGTAAACAATGAGTGACGTAGACGCGCAAGCAGAAGAAGCGCCCGTGCCGTCAGATCAGTTAGACATGGCTGTGGTTACACGAGGTAAAAAGGATATAAATACTGTTTTCTCACATGTCTTAGGCCATCAATGTGTACTTACATTTACGAGTCATTAAATCATGTTTAAATTTGACTTCTCTGAGCATGCTCTTTGCGTGGCCCCCCTAAACCTGCATTATATGACTGACCGACAACAACGGTTTGATGGAAAATGATCAAAATTGAAAATACTGTGGAAACAAAGACGCCTACATCTTGGATGCCCTTGAGATAAGCTAAAACATATCAAAAATGAATTTCAAAGTGAACTATCCCTTTAAGTTAATGCTAAAACTCTTTCTATATTTGCCTCTCTCTGTCTGTAATATTTAGGCCACCCACTACAGTTTTCTGGCCACTCTGGAGGTCCTGGGGAAACTGAGTTTTAGTGCCCTGGCTGGAGGTATGGTGGACACTGTGGGCTTTCCCATAGCCTTCATCCTCTTCCTCTTCCTCACCTCCAGCAGTGCACTGCACGTGTGGAGAGCCACAGAGACTGGCGTCCTGAAGGAGCAACTTAAAGGCCAGCCACTGTGACCAGCGTGAGCCTAAAAGAGGGCCGAGTGTGTTAATGTCTGGGTGAAAGAAAGCGAGATTAAATCTTATGCTTAGAATAAGGTGACCAAATAGACAGGCAAGCAAATATGTTGTTTTTATTTGTATTAATTTGACACAACCAGCATTGTCCGAGACAAGAGCCACTTGCGCACTGCACTCTCAGTACCTCTCTGAAAAACACTGCAAATGTTTAACAGCTACATATAGTCAACTATTTAAAGGTGCTTGCTTTCATAAAATAAGTCATCCTGAATGGCAAGCAAACTGAGCCATGGCAACACTGTTAACATGCCATGTAGTCTGTCTGAAGGACAGTAATTCATTAAAAAAATATTATGTTTGCTGTAATGGACAATGCTAAATCTGTAATTCAAAAGAACTGTAATAGTTATAAAAGGTTTATAGCTTGTTTAAGGGTCTAGTTTGGTTTAGTTATACACACCCTAGTCATTTTCACATTTCCTTTTACACAGCATCTATTCATCTTAGAAATGCCTTTAGGTTTTAATCACAGACACCATTCAGTTTAATGACCAATCAGCAGCATGCTGGATTTTAAGAATCGCTTGACTTTAGAGTCATGCAAATTTGGAAGCAGTATGAACATTGAATTATGGTTCTACCAGAAAGATTTTGGAGATCGAATGATGTAACGAAGCATTCATTTATGGACAACCCAGCAAGCAATTATTTATGAAGGTCTTTGCCATAGGCCCCATCTGTAGTGCATATTCGGGTAGGATTTAGTGCATAACCCATCCTGGTGGTGGGGAGGGTGGAGGACATTGTTTGCGTCGGTGTCTGGCAACTCAAACATGTGTAAGTACCAATCTTTTATACAGCAAGTATTAAGACATGATTGGATAGATGTGATGTGACATAGTAATTGAGTCTTCCTGGCAGAACTTATGCTAAAGCTTTCATTTCTATGATCAGCCGAGTGCTTTTTTTGTATTCTCAATGCAATACTTTTATTAATGGGGTCATATCACTGGAAAATAAAAGTCAATGTGCTATGAGAAAAGCACCTTTTAACTATGTTGTACATTGACTCTTATTTGTAGTTCAGCAACACTGCCAAAAAAATATGTTAAAAAAAAAAAAAAAAAACGTGTGCTGCTCCTGGTTGTGTATAGCACCTGAATATCTGTTTATACTTCCTTGGATTGTTAGGAAATATTAGGAAAGAATTGCCCAGCAGCAAACGTGACCCAACTATTTGTTATTTCACTTACCTAGACTGTGTTTACATGCAAAGCACAACACCAAAAATTGCTATTTCATTCGGCGAGTCAGAAAGAGGGTGGAGAGCAGTCATGAGAATACTAAATTAGGACTGTTTTGATATATAAAACTTGACTGACATAGTAAGTGGACCTCAGGGAAAACAATATTCTAAAAAGTATGATATGACCCCTTTAATGTCTGTTAAAATACTGTACATTGAAACAGTCAACTCATCAAGCTCATTTTTTGAGCCAATAATATATTGTTTCATATATATTGTTTTGTATTGTGAGATGTCTGCATTTCCTATGCAATAACACTTTTTTTTGAGTCTGAAATATAGACTATCATCATCATGAATTGATATACAAACCTTAATCCTGAAGTTCTTGTAAAGGACTGTGGGTAATTCTATCTTCCTGAGCCATGCTTTACTTTTGAATATGTTCGAATTGCCTTTTTTATATAGTTTATTGCAGAGCCAAAATATGTGGAGATATTGTTGAGACTAGATGGGTAAACGTGTGGATTTTGCCATAACTAAAGATACCTTGAGAAGATGCCTTTAATCTATAACATATTGTAATTGCATATTGCATTAGGTCCATGTTCGTTCAATGCGTTAATTAGTTTTTCGATTTAATATTGAAATTGAAAAATGGCTAATTTCTTTGTTCCCGTTTTATTTTTATTTTATTTTTTTCACAACAAAAAATGAAAAATTATAAAAATTAGACTCCACATTTAGAGCATGAAATGGCCCTTTCTGCTGATTGGTCAACCAAAGATCAACCCATTCTTCAACAGTTCCTTGCAGAATAATAGTCCTCCGCTGCTGGATGGATTACAAATAATCTCTCTCTCATCCAACAACCGGACTAAGGAATGCTTTGACATAAATTGAAATATTAGAAATATTATCTGATTATTTGAGAAGCCTACTTATTCGACACAACACTGGTTTTAGTTGTCCAACTATCAAAATCTGTGTGGCAAAGCTGTGTGACCCACTGGATAATTTTATGTTGTAGCGAAGCGCACATAAATGAGCCGTTTTCGAATTTTTTTACTTTCAATATTAAAATGAAAACGATTGTACCATTTACATTATATGTTTTCCATGCTTGTATATTCTTGTGTCACTTTGCTTTTGGTTTCATGTTAAAGGGGTGGTAAAGTATGATTTCACTTTTCTAACTTTAGTTGGTGTGTAATGTTGCTGTTTGAGCATAAACAACATCAAAATCAAAGTTACAACGCTCAAAGTTCAAAGCGAAAGGAAGATATTTTCTTTTAAAGAAAGGACTACAACAAACGCCTGGTAGGGCCTACATGACATTCCTGCCGGGTTAGTGACATCAGCAACCCCAAAATGTACAGTACATGAACCCCGCCCCGGGAACACTCAGTCCATGTTGAGAAGAGGAAGAGTGGTTGTATAGGAGTACATTTGTGAGTCAGCTCAAACTTTCGCATCCATCTTTTCACATGCAATAGAAAGTCACTCTGTGTGCATCTCACAACAGTTCCTATATGAGTGATTTATAGATTACATGACAGAATATGCTAATTGAAGATAGTTAACTCCACATCAGCAACATAAATTCATCAACTAACCATTCAGAGACGTTCTGTTGCATTCTACATGTTGTCACTTGTCTCTCCATCTTTGACTGACTCTGTTTTAATATTAAAGGAAGAACAGTTTCTGTCATTTTAGTGTCTGCGTGAAGTAATGCAGCTGCTAACACACAAGCTCTTAAAAACCCCGCCCTCTGCAGCAGACCATTTGCATTTAAAGGGACAGGCACAAAACAGTGCATTTTTGCAAACCCTCAAAAAGTGACAACTTTAACATGCTATATGAAAACATCCGTGGGGTATTTTGTGCTAAAACTTCACAGACACACTCTGGAGACATCAGAGATTTATTTTACATCTTGTGAAAATGGCATTTTACCACCCCTTTAACCCCTTTCTGTTTTTTTTTTTTTTTTTTTTTTTTGAGAAATAGAAACAGTCACAACTGAATAATACATTTTTAAAATGGTTCAAAGCTAATCTTTTTAATAGATAACTGAAAAAGGTATTGCCAATTGATGGTTATCATTAAATACTCTGATTAGCAAAGGCCTTACAAAACAAAACACATTAGCCCTGACTATACATGTAGAAGACAAAAAAATAAAAGCTATTACTGAACCCAGAGTGTGCCTGTGCTTTTGTGAGCCCATCAGACAAGAATTAAAAGCCATTAGTCTGTGTTATCAAGAGATCCTGGGCCATAAGACCTAACCGTAGTATTTAGAAAATCCAATATTGTGTTGTATATACATTTGTGGTTTATACACTGCTCTGATGATCTAAAGAAGAGTGAAATGATGGAGCCTGGCGATGCTTCCCCATGAGGATGACGCAAAAACTGTAGAACTGTATGTTGTTGATGGGACTGAACCATATCCCCAGCCTTACAATGACACTGTATCCTCTCCCTCACCATGACAGAGAGGTGATTCTTCTCAATCTGTCAAAGGGATTGGGAGTCCTTACGTAGTTCATGAATAGATCTGCACTTCACCTTTTTCACTATGAAATTATTTTCTGGGTGGTTTAGATCGAGAGAATGGACAGGGGAGAAAGGAAGGGAGAGTCTTCTTCACACTTCATCTTTGGAAAATCACAAGAGACCAAGAACTGGTCAAATGGAGAGCGTGTTTACATGCACAATTATAATTGAGCTTCAGCAGGTTTTTTCATAGTCTTTAAAAGTATATTTAGAAATATATATCAACTATGCATTACACTGTAAAAAGCATCAGTTGACTTAACTTAATAAACTTCATGCGTAATTGAAAAAAATATGTTACGTGGAATTGTCGAGTTCACGTAACTTATTTTTTTCAATTACATATGCACTTTATTTCTTATAAGACAACAGGTTATCACCTTTTTAAGTTAAGTTCACTGATCACTTTTTACAGTGTATTTATTTTACAGTATGTATTGTATCACTTCTTCAGCTCTTAGCCAGAAATATTTGTTTGCTTTACAAGTACATTACGGTGGAAAATGTTAAATCTGGGTCCACATGTTTTAGCGAGAATGGAATGCATGTCATCCACATGTCGCGTCATTAAATTGGCTATGCTTTCAGCTATGAAAAAGTATAGCTGTTTAACATGTTGTCAAAATGTATACAGTAAATCAATTGACTTTTTACACAGTCTGTGACTATTCGTTTGTTTTTTTACAGTAATCAATATCATAAATCTATTTTTTTTTCATGTAAAAAAATATGAACGTACATTTACATTTATTAGCTCGTTCAACAATGTACAGTACTTTCCGTTATATCACCAGATATATTGAATATCTGTATTTTTTGTTCCAATAGGGAGGGAGGGGGGCTTAATTTTCAGGGGTTTTTTTAATTTTCAAAAATTATCTTTGTTGTAGTTTCCTTTAAACAGAAGTTTACCCAACTATACAATTTCTGAAAGCCCCAGATATGCGAATAGAGTCCATTCTGTAGACTTTTCCTTCAAAACCAACACAGGCAATACTTGTGAAAACAAAAATGTTAAAAATGTCAAATGTAGTCTGCCAAATATATCTCTTCCTGTTATATTGTTGTGGTCAGAATTTCTGTTTGTACAAAAATAAAAAATATTGATTATTTTAATGAACACAGCCTACATTTTCAATAGTTTTTTTTTTTCTCTGTGCGCTGTTTTCTCTGTAGACTTCAGTCAAATAGCCAGTTAACCTCCAATTAGCTTTGGGTATGAAATGTGGCCTGGATTCCCATTTACAAAAAACAGAATGTGACCACCAACTGCTTTTAAGGTAGCAGAGCTGTTGTAAATTGACTTGTCTTACCTAATAGCAACAAACAATAGGTATGACATGAAAAAGACCTCAAGTTGTTTCTTGTGCTTTTCCCAGGCATTGAGTTTCCATTTTCTGGGAGCAGAAAGAAGCATTAGAGCCTCAGGTCTTTGGGAAATAAGCTGAGAAGAGAAGAAAGGACACAGTGTAGAGTGAGAACTAAAGGGACAGTTTGTCTCGTGGTGTCGATTGGAGACAGACCCCCGACTGGGTCCGAGAAATTGGGAGGAGTTGTCCAGCTGAGTGAGTGAGTCCAGAGACTGCACAGTCACCAAAGCCATTCTGCTGCTTTCAGTTTCAACCTGTCTTTGCATGTCTCATCCAAACCTTGCACAAACTTGACCATTCTGAATACTTAAGTTGTCCATCATATGAGCTGTGCAATTTTAATATCTTTGAGATCCTATTATTGTTATAGCAATAATATTTTGATAATTTAATAATTATTCAATTATAATAATATTATGAATTTCATATATAATAATATTTTGAATTTAAAATGTTTTTATTAGAGTTAGTTTTAGTAATTTAGTCTATACGTATTTTAAGTATATAATAACTGTAGTTTTTATTTATTTTCAGTTATATTAGTACAAATTTAACTACATAAAAATGAGATGTCCTTAACGTTTTAAGATGAATTGCTTGCGTTCCTCATTTGTATAGTCGCTTTGGTTAAAAGCGTATGCTTAATGAATAATGTAAAGTGTTTTGTATTTTTTATTTTATTTAATATGTAACAAAATATTTTGTATGGCTTTTGTTTTAGTTAACTATTATAACGCTGGTTGTGACTTGGCTCCAATAGAATAACAAGTTATCCCCATCGTTAAGGGATGCACTCTTTTGTGTCAAAGGGATAATTCATCCAAAAATGAAAATGCTTTGATCATTTATTCATATTACCTCATATTGTTTTAAACCTGTATGACATTTTGTTTCTTTTCAAGTCTTTATTAATTTATTTTGAAATATCCTAGGGTTTTTTGTCCATTTAATAAAAGTCAGTGGAGTCCCAATGTTGTTTGAACCCCATTGACTTTTAAAATATCTTCTGTTTTCCACAGAAGAAAGCAAGTCGTACAGGTTTGGAATGCTTTGAGGGCGAGTAAATGATGATAGAATTACAATTTTGGGGTGAACTATCCCTTTAACAGTTAACTCTAACTAACCCTACCATCATAAATTGACTAACCCTCTCCTCTGACGATGTTCTTAGTCCCTGTGTTAAAAACCAGCCGGTAGCTTCCTCCTCATGCGCGTGATTAAGTTTCCTTCGTGAGACAGGGGCTGATATTGCAACGTTTTAATATCGACTAACAAAAGTGTTTTGTGGAGCCCCCGAAGGGAAGAGGTGTTGGCTTTTTCAGCGCAGCTTTTTGTGGGCAGGCCGGCAGAATGCGCTGGTGGCTCTTTGTCTTCCAGGGAAACCCTAGCCGGGAGGTGCGGGCTGAGCGCGGAGCGGCGGCATCGGATAACCACGCATTTCCTCTCTTGCTATTTACCGGCCTTTTGTTTGTTTGCCGAATGCGAAATATATACATGTCGCCAGATCAGATCTGCTTTCCACACGTTGCCCCTCTCTTTGTTTCGTTTTTTATTCATCATCCACCTTCTCTTCTCCTCCTCTTTCTCCTCTGCCTTTCCAAACTCTTCATGCACTGTCAAAAGTCTGTGCGCCTGTTCTTGAATATTTCTGACTGAATTTGATAACCCTCTCAGAACTGTTCAGATATCATTTACATAATGCAGTCTATTATTTAGCAGGTATAACACTTTCATTTGTGTGCCAACATTGTAGAAAAGGTGTTGCTGTTTGTGATGAAGGGAGATGGGTGAGCTTGAGATGTTACACACATGCTGCTTCTCTTCAGTCGATATGTTGAACATAAGCAGACTTGAGATCAATATTTTGGTTCCCAAATATTTCCTTACTGCTTATTAAACTATACAGCATGGTAGGGTTCGAAAGTCTGAGAACAAAGTCTGCGCTGATTAATTGCAATCGTTTTCTGTAGCTTGGTTGTTTTACAAGCAAATGCTTCAGTGACTTAGATCGGCCAACAGTTGTTTTCTTGAAATGGAGTATCAATTGCAATCAAAATGATTCTACTTCCTTGACCTGTAAGGCATTTTGCTGCTGAGAACAAAATTATATGAATACAATTAAACAAAGGCATCAGAAAATCATTATAGAATGTCTATCAATGCACATTT